AAGGCACTCAAGGCCAGGTTGGATAGGGCCCTGGGCAGCTAAGTTGGTGGGGGGCAGCCCTGCCCATGGCACGGGGTTGGGGCTGGGTGGCCTAAGGCCCTTTGCAATGCAAACCATTCTGTGATTCTATATCATAGAAAGCCTGATTCTATATCACAAGGCCTGAAGTGGTGGACTGCCCTCTGCCCACTCAAGCCCGCCGAAATTTTAGTGCCATGGTGCTGCACTCCCAGATGAAGCTCATTTGCAGCGTTAAACAAAAAGTGCTTGGAGAAAGACTGTGGCACATGAAGCATTTGTAGAAATTATCTGTAAAGTATGTTTGAACAGCACTTGTATTTCAAGCATCTAGTGTTGCTACCTGCATAACTTACAGGCAAGAAGTGAAGCCACACCTAAATTATTTCTAACCATGCTGTACCACTGATCCTGAAGCTGCTTTTCAACTGCCCTCACAAGACAGAACAAGGAGCGAGCCTTTTCCTTCGATTTGATTTGAAAAGTGCAGTGCCTGTGCTCAGCACTAATCCCAGCACCAAAGCTGAAGGCAGAGCACTGGCAGCAGGACTGGTCTGAGCTACGTCCATCTGCGGAGGCAAAACATTGATATGAGAGCCAGGAACATGCCTGCTTGAAAGATCATGTCACAAAAAAACAACAAAACCCAGCTCAACAGAGACAACAGTCACTTCAGCAGCGAGTTGGACATCCCTGCCTTTTTTCTGCTGTCAGCTCCTGACCTAGCTCAGGGCCACCTATTTCCACAGTGAGGGGAAATGGAGGGGGGCTGTGTAGTGCACAAGGATGAGGCACAGTTTTTAAGACATAGTTAAGTTAATGATCTGTCCCTTGGATCCATAAATAAATAAATAGATATGTTCTTTTCAATATTCCAGAGAAAGGAGATCAGGGTGACTTGGTGCAAGCATCCAGGCATCTCCTACACTCGATGCAACTGCTGGAGCCTTCCCGTGGCCGAGGTGGGAAATGCACAGCCCCGAAAGGCTCATCTCACGTCTCTGCTCTGGAGAATGAGACCTGAATTCACAGTCTGTTCCTCCAAAGGTGCACATCCTTACATGCTGAGCCGAATATGCACTGCTGCCCTCCTCTCTCACTTCATCCTGCAGCTGCCTGCCAGCCCTTTCGCTTTCACAGCTCCTTTCAAACTTTTTTTACTCCAATTTTTTTTTCCTTAAAAATCCTTTCGGGGAGAAATGGGGGACAGGAGGCAGAAAGGCAGCCACGGAAAATGCACACAACTGCTTGATTCTTGATGTGTGCAAGCAACGCACATCTGGTGTATGTCTGACATCTATAATTCCAGTTAGTGCTGCAGAGCAACAAGAGCTCCCTGAGGGAGTGAAGTTCCCATCGCTGCTAGCAGGCACTGCCCGTGCAAATCGCTGCTGATCCCGGCTGCAGGGAGTCCGCCGGGCCCTGACCTTCCCTCGGAGCCGCTTCCGACCCCTCATTTTCCTCCACACTCGGGCTGTGCCTCTCGCACGCAGCTGCTCCCTTGGGTCAGGACTGCAGATCCTAACGGGGCGCAGCCAGCCTGGCAAATGAGAGGCTGGAAAAGCCCCAGAGTTCTGCTTGTGAGGCAGCAGCACTCGGGACTATGAGGTTCAGGAGCATTTTTGTTTCATGCCGCAAGTGGAAAAGATCTGAGCATGGGGCAGCGAGCCCTTCGCACGCTGCCTGGTCATGTTGCTGTAAATAGCCCACCAGCCCTGGCGGGCAGCGCGGCTGCTTCCAGGTGCGCGGCGGTATAAAAACCTCTGGAGGGGGCATCAGCCTGCGGGAGCCTTCCAGCGCCTTGCACCACAACAGGTAACGGCACAGCTCCACTGCCCTGACCCTAACCCTGACGTGGATGCTTCCTGCTGACTAACAAAGGAACTCAGCTCTGCACTCCTTGCCTGCTCTGCCCACGCACACCTAACACGTTGGTTTTTTGCATTTGGATGCATGTACCTTGTGGGCTCAAATATCATAAGGGTGTACAGCAATGCTCTAGGCATATATATGCATACAGACACACGTGCATATTAGGCAGTGCATTGAACTTTGCACGAGTGCTCAGAAACATTGAGTGCACGGCCGGTCCTAACTCACACTGCAGTGCAACTGCGCTTCTCCTTTGAGCAGATGGAAGTGGCTTTCGCCTGTTAATTCTGACTACAACCAGCAACGCAGTGTGACCTTGTGCCAAGAAAACAGAGAAGCCTCTCAGCAGAGCTGTGCTCACTGCTGAGGACCGAGTGACACAGTACTACTGCTCAGTAACCTACTTTTTTTTATTTCGGGCCATGCGGTCAGATCCAAAAGCCCTTTCCAAGCAATGAATTTCAGAAGTTGAGGCAGAAAATTTATTAGAGGGGATAAAAGTGAATAAAGCTAGAAGCTGAATAAAGCTAAAGCTGATAAAGCTAAAAGGGGGCTGAGGAGAGACCTTTTTGCTCTCTTCCAGTATCTGAAAGGTGCTGACAGCGAGAGCAGGGTTGGTCTCTTCTCACTGGTGGTAGGACAAGGGGAAATGGCCTTAAGTTGTGCCAGGGTAAGTTTAGGTTGGATATCAGGAGAAACTTCTTTACAGAAAGGGTTGTTAAGCACTGGAATAGGCTCCCCAGGGAGGTGGTTGAGTCACCATCCCTGGATGTTTGGATGTGGTGCTCAGGGACATGATTTAGCGGTGGCTTGTTAGAGTTAGGGTAGTATGGTTAGGTTGTGGTTGGACTCAATGATCTTTAAGGTCTTTTCCAACCTGAGTGATTCTATGGCTTTTTAAAGCATTACCGTAAGGGTTATTATCATCTTACAATTTAGTCTTAAGCATTTTATTACCCTGTCAGATAGATACAATTTTGTGACTTATTCCATCTTCTTAAAGTTCCGAAGAAATTAAACGTGGTGTGGCAACTTATTTTTTTGGCAACAAAGTCAAAGACTGTTAGTGTAGCCCCCATGAGTTTAAACTCTTTGGAAACCACAGAATTTAGGTGATGATTCCCTTCAGAACTACTTTGCCAATACATGAGCTGCTAACCACCACAAAGAGCCAGCAGTTTCTAAGGGAACTGATTTTGCTTGCCATATTGTCTTCCCCAAATTAAATGTTTATAAGGGATGTATCACTTTCAGGGAAATATGGATCAGAAAACTGTATGAAGTGTCCATTCTAGTAAGACAGCAGCAACTTGAGCATCCTGCACGTGATGATGCAGACACTGCCCACGTGCAACAAGAGCACCCAGTAGTGACCTGTGCCCACAGCCCTCAAGTAGAGTCGGTCATTTGCAGTAATAAATGAAAGCTGTTCATACATTAATATATTTGAATCCAGACTAAATGTAGCTTGTAGCAAAAGCAAAACAACAAAAAACAAAACAAAAAAAACCCCTTCACTTTATGAATGACTAATAGCTGTGGCATTAGGATGTATGAAACAATAACTTCCTATTATGCAAAAGCGACACCTACAAAAAGATATGAATGATGTTACTGTGGCATCCAGAAGCCCGGCATGATGTATCTATCACTATGAATAAATGCAGAGTGCATAACCTCTTCTCCCAGACTGACATCTGAGAACTTGGGCACCTGAGGGACTTCAGGGCCAGACCAGGCCCATCAGTGTAACCCACGGTTATTTTTCAGATCTCTTGATCCTTTTAAGAAGAGCTTTAATAAAAACAGCAAAGCACCTTTATGAATATTTAAGTTGACTCCTATTCCAGAGCATAGTGGAAATGGTAAGTGATGGCCTGAATGAGCGATTGAGCACCTGGCAGGAAGGCAGGGACAAACTGCTCAGCTGCATGCAGTGCACCTGAGTGACTGGATGGGGTGGAGCCAGGATCCACCTCTTCCCAGACCTCATTTAAGGGTTGGCAGGGGAAGAGAGAGCATTACTTGCTGGAGATCTCTGCCTATCTGAGATCTTCCAAAGGTAAGCAGCTCTTTTCCTTCTTTTCTGTATCTGTGGCTGCTGTGTTTGGCCTTGCTCCCGTTTGTTGTAGCCAAAGACTTTACTACTCTGCCATTATCATTCCATTATAGCATTACACAGAGGATCTCAAAGAACAAAAGAGAAGAAAGCATAACGATTTTTAAGCGCAACAGAACATCTCTCCTTTAGTTTAGAATTCAACGTGTCTGTACTGAATGATATCAGAGAAGTTATTTATTACAAGTGCTTAACAGTAGAGCAGCAAATACACATTTACTAAGCTGCGTCAAATCTGATCTGTGGTAGCCACGTGGCCAACTGTAAGCCTGAACTGCCACAGTAAGAACTTGATTTTTTTTTTTTTTTTTCATATCTGGAGCTGGAATGAGAGCCATTGCTGAGAATAGGCAGTGTACTATCGAAACTGAACTGGCTGCTGTAGCTCCAGCATTACCTTCCATATTTAATCTCCTATGCCTCCATTGTATTTTGAATTATATACGAAAGGTGTGCAGCCAGAACTCGTTACCTACCAGATAGAGGCCCTCTGAGGAGGAAAAACACAAAACAAAATCTGCAGAATTCCAATTACTTAGCGTTCTCCCTTTTGAACTGGTAAAAAATAAAATAGAATCACTTGCCATAGCTGTGAACAAACACCATGCTACGGGAGTCAGCACACGAGTCTTGTGCCTGTGAATAAAGGGAGTAATAAGGAATATATTAAGCAGCAGAACTGCAATGGTGTCAGCGTCGTGGGTGCAAATAAACCACCTCCACACATCAGCAGTCATTCTGCCCTTAAAAACTACCTGCAGGCACTGCCAAGCTTCTCCCTCATGGATCAAAGGAGGTGCTTAAAGGAACCTCCATCAGTGTGAGGCCACCCAACCCAGTCATATGAGCCTGGGCAGAGCCAGAGCAGGATGGGGAGATCCCACAGCCAGCTCTCCAATCATCTTGTACAAAGGAATTGCCCTCAACTTTCTATATATATTTCTATTTCAGTTCCACAATCTTGGCACAGCAGCTGTCATTTCCCAACACAATGCAAAGAGCAACAGACTGCCAAACAGCGGAAGGAGAAGCCTGTGAAGAGCCGTGTGAGTCTGAGAACTGCACTTGCAGCTCCAACTGCTCATCAACAGCAGAATCCAACCCCGGTATAATCCTTTATAATACTGTAATTGCTGTGTCCTGCTGGTATTTCATCACTTCATTTTTCTGTCTTTGGATAGCAAATGTCAATCTGTCACTTCTCTTCTTGAGCTCTACTTTCCCCATTTTTTTTCCCTCTGTTGTAGTTTATTTTTGGACCAAATCTAGGTAAATTATTCTAACTCCATAATTGACGTGCATATTGTAAAAAGCCTCTGGATTTTATTTAGACATCAGAGAAATAATTTTCAAGCACTGCCAGAGAGCTGATTATAACATGTATTGGTTGGGCTGGCACTGCTGAAGCTGTGATATTACAAATTTTAACACAAGCTAAACCGCTTTGCTTGAGCATCTATTAAGAACTGCAGGCAGGCATTGATCAAAATCCATGCAATCCAGAGCAAAATTGTCCTTTGCAGTTGAATGTTGTATCATCTATGCATATCCTGCCACTAGGCTTCCAATGGCTGCACAGTCATTAAGTGCCCTGATTTCAGTGAGCTTGGTTGGAGCAGTTAAGCTGAGCTATCCTGAACATCCACCCTCCCAGCCTACATGCTATGATGAGACACGTTAGTACTACACTACAGTGGCACTGACACTTGCTCAACAGCAGCATACTTTTCAACATACACTGAAAAAGTGCTTCAGAATCCTCTTTTTGTAGAAGGGTTAAAAATTCAAGAAACCCAGCTCTTTTAGTGAGTGGCAGTGTAACAGGTAAAACAGAAATGGCAGGTACTCTTCTCTTTGAAACGCAAAGCTTAGCATTCTGTATCTGCTGGGTATCTTCTAGCAGGCATGTTAAGTTCATTAAGTATATTACTATCTAAAAAGATGCTAAAAAGAAACTATTTGGTATCTGATTTCAAGAGTCAGTAGGAAAAACAACAACAACAACAACAAGGAAAAGCACTTAAATCTCAAGCATTGGGATTTAAAGCATTGCATTGAGATTGAGATTAAGCATTGAGATTGAAATCATCAAGCATGAGCTGCAGAAGGCAACTTCTCTGTATTTTATATTTTGGTATCTGTAAAGTGCCACGTAAACACTCAATCACAGAAAGGTCTTAAAAGCTTGTTCAGTTCCAGCCTCCTGCCAGGACTGCTGCCACCAGCTCAGGCTGCCCAGGGCCCCATCCAACCTGGCCTGAATGCCTCCAGGGATGGGGATCCATAGGTTCTACTGGGCAGCCTGTTAAAAACACTGCTTCTGCTCCTCCAGCAGCCAGACTGCCCACAGCTGGAGAGCAGGTGGTCTTAAACCCCATCACCTGACAGCTTTTCCAGTGCATGTGCTCATGTACGATATTCACAAAGTCCTTCTCATACTTTAAAAAGCTGTGCGTTAATCCATGCATATGTAATACCCCTTTCATCTTCTCTCTCACAGATTCACCAGTAATTCTTAAAATATTGCAGAACTGGGCTCCCACAGTTTCCCACTACTTTGACAAAGAGCATTACACTTATGCAGGCCAGCACATTGTCATCCAGGAATCTATAGAACACTTTGGAGCAGTGGTGTGGCCTGGGGTAAGTACTCAATATGGCATCCAGGGAGTTGAAGTGACTGATAAATCAGAAACAACAATGGCAGACAAACCTCAAGCTAGTATTTTTTTTAGTTAATTCCTATTTCTGGTGAGGAACTAAGCTGTGAAATACTAGAGCAGAAAGCTCTGCCTTACACTGATTTGGTAGTTTGCACCAAAAGAAATGGGGCATGTAAGTAGCATGTAGATAGTAAATTATTTCCACTTACAGAGGTAAGAAAAAAAAAATACCTTCCACTTGGTCAATTGGATGAAGATAGGGAGGAAAAAAAGTTAAAATTGTTTGGAAAAAATTGGAAAAATTGTTGCTTCCTCCACATGGTCAGCTGCTCATTTTAGAAAATGGAAGCAATCAAGCATTACAAAAAGGAGACTAAAGAAGAAAATTGTGAAAGATTAAAGGTACTTTAAAATAATGAAAATGTTTCTTTGAAAGAACAGCCTGGAACTATTCCAGCACAGTAAGGAAAGCCATACTTGCAAACAGGTCTTTTCCAATCTTCGTTCCTTCTGCTGCAAAAAAAGAACTTCTTGTAGACTCAGAAATATGGCTCTGGAGGAAGAAAGGGTGCTTCAGAATTTTTCAGATCTACTTTTATTGGAAAAGCTCACCAACAACGTCTGACCAAAAAAAGAAAAAAAAAAAAGATAAAAATAAAGTGTATGGATAAATGAAACGGTATCTGAATCCGGAACGTCAGAACATCACACACAGAATCACAGAATCACCCGGGTTGGAAGGGACCTCAAGGATCATGTAGTTCCAACCCCCCTGCCTAGCAGGGCCACCAAACACACACATTCAGATCAGGTTGCCCAGGACCCCGTCCAACCTGGCCTTAAACACATCCAAGGACGGGGCATCCACAACCTCCCTGGGCAGCCCGTTCCAGGGCCTAACCACTCTCCTTGTATAGAACTTCCCCCTAACATCCAACCTAAATCTTCCCTCCTTCAACTTCGATCCATTTCCCCTAGTCCTGCTGTTGTCAGCCCTTTTGAAGAGTTTACTCCCCTCGTGGGTGTAGGTTCCCTTCAGGTATTGATAGGCTGCAATGAGGTCACCCCGCAGCCTTCTCTTCTCCAGGCTGAACAAGCCCAACTCCCTCAGCCTGTCCTCATAGGGGAGGTGCTCCAGCCCCCTGATCATCTTAGTCGCCCTCCTCTGGACCCTTTCCAAAATCTCAATGTCTTGAACATTGAGTTGAGAACATCAGTTCTCAAATTAATCAGGTGTCAGAATGCAGATGGTAAAACTTTCCAAGAAAAGCGCGAGGTTGTGCAAATTGGGCTGGTGATTCATGAGTTGTCAGCCTGCCCAGAGCAGGTAGACAGCGTTGCATTATGAGGAAGCACAGGAGTTAAAACCCTAACACACCAGTCTTAAGATGACAAACAAAAGGGCAGTTAATTTGTTTGGCATCCATTTATGTTATTCATCAATAGAATGGTTCCCATTTGGACGCTACCTATCTTGAGCTGTGAGAGGAATCACAAAAGGTACACATGTCTGCTGCAAATTCATTATCTCACAAGACCTAAAATTAACAATAAACTAGTTTAATCGGATTGTTTGACATAAAGAACAGGACACAGTGTTTCTTTCCATATTATGTTTATGTTACAGCCATCAGTGTTTTCCACTGTATAAAAAAATACAGTATAAAAACATCAAATTAATTTTTGTGCAACTTAATTGATACCATCTTATGAATACGTGGTAATTATTTCAGGCACTGGCTTTGTCTCAGTATCTGGAATCAAATCAAGAACGATTCAACCTCAAAGACAAGAAAGTTTTGGAAATTGGTGCTGGAACAGGCTTGGTTTCCATCGTGGCTTCCATCTTAGGTCAGTAAACTATTTCCTTTCAGATTTCTTATGAAACACAATCTAGATCTGTGACTGCCACTTGAAAGCAATGAAGCAACAGCTGAAATTAATACATTCGTCACTGCTTTTTTAAAAAAATGAAAGCAAGTTGAACACTGATGTTAATAAAGATTCTAGTTATTGCTGAGGGGGAAGCAGGGGAAGTAATATCAAAAGTTTATATCTTTAGGTTTAACTACATACCTCTGAATTAAAACAAATCTATGTATTCTTTAGGAGCTTATGTTACAGCTACTGATTTGCCTGAAGTTCTTGAAAATCTCTCATTTAATATTTCAAGAAATACACACAACATGAATACGCACAAACCTGAAGTGAGAAAACTGGTGTGGGGAGAAGACCTCAATAAAGACTTCCCTTTATCAACTTACCATTATGATTTTATACTGGCAAGTGATGTTGTATACCATCACACTGCTCTGGATGCCCTGCTAGCAACAATGGTACACTTCTGCCAGCCAGGGACAGTATTATTATGGGCGAATAAATTCAGATTCAGTACAGACTATGAATTTTTGGAACAACTTTGCAATATATTCGATACATCCATCCTAGCAGAATTTCCAGAATCAAACGTCAAGTTGGTTAAAGCCACGGTAAGAGAGAACTGAAGAAAAAAAACAACTACTGATTTTCATTTCACGCCTGCACCTTGCAGTTTGGAATGTGATGTGCAATTATGGCACGCCCTCTGTGCGTTTACGTCTGTGAAGTTGTAGCTGTAGCTGAACTCTGCATGTTTTGTTACAAGAAATCTGGCAAGACAAGCAATATAGCTCATTTGTCTTGGGTTCATACAACCTATTCAAACAGACCAATGTCCCTCCACTGGAGGAACAATGTCACTAAGTAGTCAGATAGCAGGGAGACATTAACAGAAAGCATTGATCTTCTAGGCTGCACTGAACTTCTGCTGTTTGGAAGGTGTTCTCTTTCAGCAAATTTCATTTACATACTCCTGGATGAACCAATATTTTTAGCTTTATTTGTTTTTATTACCTATAAAATAATCTTTTAAAGTATCAGAGTGCACATGGTGTTTTTTTGATCGTCAGTTTTGCACATTTATTCTGTTGTGTTTTACATTTTTAACATTATTAAACATATATGTATAGCTTTACAATACCTGGTCAAGATTTAACTGTCTGGCACTTTATACATGTATCAGCCTGTCCTGATACTCAGGTTCACATGGATTTTTGAGTTTGCCTGAAATCACTCCAAAATGAAGATTTACAGGAGCACCTATGCATCAGCAATTCTGAGCTGCATGTATTAACAGTTTCAGAGGTTGAATTTTTCTTTAAAGAAAAAAACAAAACAAAAAACAAAAAACCAAAACCAAAGAACAAAACCACAAATGTAAACTCTTGCAAACAATATGGATAATTATGTCCCATTACTTTTGTCTAATAAATAAGATTTTAGCTACTCCTGAAGTAGCTTTAAGGCCTTCATACAATTGAAAATGAAATTAAGATCAAACGTGTTAAAAGTCACTTTACCGTAAAAAATACAGAGCTTTTACAGGTTTGCAGTTAAAATTAACAGTTAAGAAACTAACATGCATGCAGTAAGCTATATCAGCCTAATTCCAACTCTTTTCTGTTAGCTGTTCTGGCACGTCCATTGCCAGCAATGGGATGCACAATAAGGTAACTCCCTGATGACTGGAGTCAGGTTAACAGGTATTAAGCTGTACCCAGGTGCCTTTACTGATAAATACACACAATTTAATGATCGACATTCAGTAATGAAAACATGCGTTCCTATAAAAAAAAAAAAAAAAAATCAAACTTATCTTTTCATATCCTGCCCTTATAGAATTACGTTAGGTTTACAATTTCCAGATTTCTAGAATACACAATAATCAGGGGGATACATCACAGGAAGCCAGTTTTCAGAGAAAGTTGCACAGTGAGTCCATCCCAATAACTTCATTAGCTGAAGGAAGAAAGCAAACAAAAAAAAGTGAGACACTCATGGGTCATATTCTTCAATTTAAGTCCTTCCAACACACATTGCACTGACATTAACTACTCACTGAGGATATCTGTAATCTGAAAGATAAGTCTGGAGAAGTTGAGCTTATTTGGATCTGAAAGGCTACGTGATCTACAGCCTTTCAATTAAGCATACAAATATTTGATGTGATTAAATTTCATAGGAGGTACAGTAATTCCCATTAATTCTCTGCCTATATTATACTAGTACTATTTGTGATTACTAACAGTAACAATAACAGGATAAACACTCACATAATGATTTAAATATGCAGAAGAGTTTTGGTAAATACTCTACAAAAAATGAAAGAGGAAACTGGGACCAAAAAAATGGGACCAAACATCAAAAGCTTGAATAAGGTTAACATTTTGAGTTCTACAATATAAAATATAACAAAGATTACGCCTCCTGTGTTTAAACATTTACTCAGAATTAATACAGACCATCATCTTACTAAACACACTTTACCTGAATGCAGTTTTTCAGGTTGTCTTTTGTTGGCTTTTCTTCTGCAAGTTTTGTTGCGAACTTGAGCCCTCTCCCATACATTTTGTTCGCCAGTGCATGCTTATAGGCAAAAGTCAAAACCTACAATATGAAAATAAAACAGTTTAGATATTAAAATACTTGGCTCTTACAAGGCTTAACAAATAGTATCAGATTCTCTTCAGGAAGTAGAAGTGATTTAAAGCAAAACAATTACATGAAACAGATTGCATTTTTTTTGCAGGAAAACAGATGATTCCTAGTAGCAGTTATAAACAAGAACATCCTAGAAACTACTAATGACTTTGTGGACATATCTGACTTTAGAAGATTTTACGCAATACAGACATCATTATTCAAATTCTTTAGTCATCACATTTCTAGGTTGTTTGGATTTTCATTTGCTAGAGGCAACTGCATAGTAAAAAGGAGTTTAAACAAAATAAAATCTTCAAGAACCAGGCAGACGTATCTTTGATCCACAGAAACAAAGACTCCATTAACAGCGTTGGTTTGCAGGAAATAAACTTATTGCAGAAACAAATATGAACATATATACTGAATGATGTATGTGTGTATATAATATATATATACATACAGAGGTATGCACATAGTTATAAACAGGCAATGAAGACAGGTAAGCATGAAGACAAACCTCAGGTTTTGGTCAACTCCTCAACACTATTAAGAATAGATAAGAAAACTTCCTCTTGATACTACAAACTCCAAAGGTAGAGTTCACAATACCTGACAATGCTGCAACTAGCATTTGCAAATGAATGTGTGAATGAATGTGTTTACTTCAGAGATAATGTGAAATAAACCAGGTTCTGAACACTATTAACAGTGTTCAGTGTTGCAAGATGGTTCATAGAGTTTCACCCATCATTAAGAACTAGTGATGAATCAGGACATTTTCATCTATTTCCTTTGGAATGCTTACAGTAAGTTAAAAAAAAAAAAAAAAAAAGAAAAAAAAAAAAAGAAAAAAAAAGAGTGACAGCACCAAAAATGGAGAACATGACATTACTATTATTTTTAGTACAGTTTTAATGCAATTTGGTATTACAGTTTGCAATTCGTTTTCCCCTCAGTCAGCACAATGATTTTCCTTTTCTCTGATTCCTCAAATGAAAGTCAGTTTTCCAATAATGTGTACTTAAAATACACCATTGAGAAGCCAACAAAAAAAAAAAAACAACAAAACCTCAAGGATGTTCAGACATAAATATTTTGCATTATAAAGATTTAAAATATTTTCTACTAATAAAATATTAAGGAATCCAATATTCCTATCCTGCAAGGACTGAAGAACCTGCCTAATTTTAGCTATCTGAACACTCCTTCTGAATGTTAACTGACATGCAATATTTTGCAGTATCTGTACCTGAAAGACTGAGCTAGAAAAGGAAATGGCACACCTAATTATCATGGAAGTGAAGGTACAGTTTTCTAGGTCTGAAGAGCCAAGTACTTCATATGCCAAGCACTCAAGCATTGCCCATTCTTCTGTCTTCCAGTATTATTTGGTTATGTTGAAGTATTCACTTAAGCTGCAATAGCTTTTGAATACAATTTGTACTAGTTAAAGCACACACACATATGCAACAATGAGCATAGAGCACCATTCACATACAAATCTTTCCAAATATTGCTATTGGAAAAGTACTTTGCATGCTGCATTCTCAATCCAAACACTTCTGAACAACTGCTCAGTGGATCCATCAGCAGACTCAGTTGATTAAACTAAACTTAAAGAAGTAAAATGAAGAAAAAAAAATCCTTTCTGAAAGTATGATAGAACCACAAACCAAACCAAAAGAAAACAAACCAAAATCAGGTGAGAGATGCATTGGAGCTTTCAGCAAACATATTAAAGGCTAACCAGAAACAATGTCACTGCTCTATTAAGAAAGCTCTTACCTGACCCTGTAAGTTTTGAATGGTTACTGAACATCAGTGATAAAGGCAGGATGAAAGCCACTTGACAGCATTTCTTTCGTAACAGGGCTTCCTAGAGTTTTTGTAGCAAGAAAACAAAGTATTTTACGAAATACCCTTACTCTGGCCAAGTAAAAGTTTGGGTATTCCTAAATGAGGAAAAAAAAAAAAAATCTCTCAAGGACCAAAAGGTTGAAACAATGCTCCAAGACCTTTTGATAAAAAGATCATTTCTAAGTGCTTGAAAAAACAAACAAACTAAAAAAAAAACAACCCACAGTCAGCTGTAAACAAGTAAAAATATTAAAAGTTTGTTAGCACTTCAGAAGTTAAGAATAATGCATGGAATGCTTTAAAATCGGTATAGATTAACAAGATTTAAGAAATATTACCTCATTACTTGTGCATATATTGATCAAATTAAGCCTTATAAATTACAATAGTGCAAGCTTTACAGTATCACAGAACTGGAGCTCATTCCTCGATGCGTGTAAACAATAAAAACGGGGATGCTATTAAGATATAACCAACAGCTGCTATCAGATTGTATACAACAGCAAGTAAACAAATCTATAGTGTACAAAAACAGCTGCTAGATGTAAGAATAGAAATGAATTCTAAATGCTTGGTATTATTTCATAACTTCAATAAATACAAGGCCAGCTTTTACAGAACAAATGATACAGATGAAAAGTTGACCAAAGAACTGTATCAATGGAAACAAAAAACAATATGCACTTTTAGGATGCTTTGGGGTTGGGAAATAAATGTTAGCTCCTACGTTCCCAAGCTAATGGCCTGTAATAATAAGTGTACTGAAAGCCAGACCCACAGAAGTAGTTGGTAATCGCCTGCCAGCTCGCTGACAGCTACAAAAAGATGCATATACTTTGGAGGATAAAGCTCTGAAATGATCTCTCAGGACATCTGCATGGCTGCAGTATTTTCAAATCTGAAAATGCTCCTTAAAAAACCAGCACACTTAAGGTCCACCAATACTCAACAATTAGCTAATGAAAACCTTTCTGGCATTTTAATACCTATACTTAGCAAAAGGAAAAGAGATTTGTATAATTAGTTACTTCATTATTTGAACTGTTGATTAAAACGTATCTACATTAACAAATAATTAAAATGCTACATTACACAACACCTATAGACAACACAACTCACTGTAAGA